TTCTCTCTCTCTCTTTCTCTCTCTCTACCTCTCTCTCCTCACTTTCTCAACCTCTCCCCGTCTCCACCCTCTCTCTCCTTCCCTCTCCCTCCTCCCCACTCCCCCTCTCTCCCTCTCTGTATCTTTCTCTTCCCGCCTCCCTCTCTCGCCCTCTCTCCCTCAACCTCTCCCCCTCTACCCTTCCCACTCCCCCTATCCCTCTTCAATTTCACTACTGATATCATATGAATCAGGTAACTGTTCCATCAGAGTTTGTGCATAAAAAGATAGTTCACTCCTGTCTTTGAGCCAATTAAAAAGTGTCCTCAAAATCCAATGGCGCTCTCTTCGAAAAAGTGTGGAATTTGCGAACCGAGTTACTCCACTTATGTGAAAAACAATAAAAGCGAAACTAACAAACTGTGCTTTTCCTATTTTGTTCTTCTGGAGAAACGAAAGAGAGCTTCAAAACTAAGACTGCTGCACCATCTGAACCAATGCGCGGACTTCCACGGACACTTTTTTAGCCTAGTGAACTATCTGGTTATGAACGATCTTTGGTTTCATCCACCTCACAGATCCAGTACACTGGCTCCAGCATGAACCCATCCAGATCCCTGGGCTCTGCCGTGGCCTCCGACAGCTGGGATGACCATTGGGTGAGATGTATTTCCTTGTTTGTCTTTTTGTTTTAGTAAGTGTTTTACGGCGCTCGCAACTGTATAATGTCATATGAGCGCCAGAAGATTAGACTTAGAGGTGTTACAAGAGAGTAACAAATATAGGAAAGAAGAAGCAAACCACACCACAGCACCCGCCAACCAACCACCTTGTTTGTCTGAACGTTTGTTTTGTTTGTTTGTTTGCTTCCTCCAATGTCTTATCTTCTGGGTGAGATTTATTATTTTGTTTGTTTGAGCGTTTGTTTGTTAGTTCGTCTGAACGTTTGTTTGTTTGTTTGTTTGTCTGAACGTTTGTTTTTTTCTTGTCTGAACGTTTTCTTGTTTGCTTGTTTGTTTGTTTCTTGTTAGAACGTTTGTTTGTTAATTTGTTAGTCTGAACGTTTGTTTCCACTCATGTCTTATCTACTGGGTGGGATTTATTTCTTTTGTTTGTCTAAATGTTTGTTTGTTTGTTTGTTTGTTTGTATGTTTGATTCCACCATTGCCTTATCTACTGGACGAGATTTATTCCTTTGGTTGTTTGAACATTTTTAAAAAAATCCACCCACCAATGTCTAATCTTTGGTATAACTCCATATTTTTTTTTACATCTTATTTCGCCTGGTAAAGTGTTCATTAAATGCATAATGAACTGATTTTTACCGTGTGTCGGATAGGGTGTTAAAATTAAAAACATTATGAAAAGACTTACACCGTTTTTATGTCCTGACTAAGACTGTCTCGAGCTACTAGGCTTGTGAACATTACGGTTTGTGTCTGACCTGAATCATTAAACTATGCATTTTTAAATAGGGGACACTCCGGAATTTTAATCAACGTTTTAGCCTGTATACGTAACGATTTCATTTATTTTTGTCTACCTTCACCCATGATTAAAAACTAACAAACAAAAACCAAACAAAAAACCAAGACAAACACGATTATTGGATTTTTAATTTCAATCTGCCTAATCACCTCCACCACATCCATCACTTGTCCCTTCCCTCTCCTCAACCGTGGCACCCGAAGAAGAAGAAGAAGAAGAAGAAGAAGAAGAAGAAGAAGGAGGAGGAGGAGGAGGAGGAGGAGGAGGAGGAGGAGGAGGAGGAGGAGGAGGAGGAGGAGGAGGAGGAGGAGGAGGAGGAGAAGAAGAAGAAGAAGAAGAAGAAGAAGAAGAAGAAGAAGAAGAAGAAGAAGAAGAAGAAGAAGAAGAAGAAGAAGAAGAAGAAGAATTAAGTGAATTTAAAAAATTATATTATACGATAACAATAAGTTTAAATAGCTATCGTTTCATTCTTTTTCTTTTATCTCCTCCGGTTTCCAGATTTACTGGGTGGGACCCATCGCCGGCGGAGTGCTGTCTGCCATTGTGTACAAATTGGTCCTCAACCCGTACAGAGGTGTCATCAACATGGACGAGGCCGTCGAGAAGATGAGTGAGTTCACACAAAGCTAGACCCAGATCTCGTTGGGGGGAAATACTCTTTTAGATAAAGCTCTTGTTTAGGGAAATATTGCACTGTTACTGTTAGATGATAATATACTTCTTGTTTTTTTTTTTGTTTTTTTTTTTTGGGGGGGGGGATACTACTCTGTCAGATATAGCTCTTGTTTGGGAAAAAAATTACTGTTACATAAAGTTTTTTTAAGAGAGAAAAGTCCTTTCGTTGGACATATTTCTTCTGTTGTCGTTGTCGTCGTTTCTTTATTTATTTTATTTGTTGTGGCATTTTTGTATAGGTCTATACCTTTTTGTTGCCCCTTTTCAATCGCGTCGTAGCCGTGTCGTTGTTAACGATATCTGCAATTATGTCCAAACTTCTGTTGTTTCTTTTATAGTAGCACCCTGTTTCGAAAATATTCCCAGTGTTTGATTTAGATTAAAATGTATTTATCATTAAAATGTTTTGTCCCTTATAGTCAATCTCTAGTACACAACAGTGTGTTTCCGTTATGAGTATTGTACTTCAGCACCCATTTAGTCTCTCGCCTACATATCTCCTATTTTTCTGGTCAACCAGTTTGCACATTTTCAATTTGTAAACCGTTTTCATTCTTTCGTTTATTTAAAAAAAAAAAATTTTATATTTGAAATAAAGTCCAGACAAGTGTACCCCAATTTAGTAAACTAATTTGAAAGAGAATCTTGTTTTTTTTTTTTAGTTACTCGTTTAACAGTAGACATTGCATTTTTTTTCTTTTTGGTTAGTTCAAAATTTGAATAACATTTTCAGGTTGTATAATATTCTTCTTAATCATACTGTTAATAACATTTTCAGGTTGTATATTCTTTTTAATCATCCAATCATAATGCAAATAACTTCTTAGAATTTTACATTAGAACAACATTATTCCAAATTGACAGACTGAAACCATGTTGTGTTGTGAATTAGTGTGAAAATATCCAACTTGAGTCCTGCGTGCTTGTATGACATTATGCTGTCGGGAGCACCGTAAAAACTTGTACCAAACTCAAACTTAAGAGAGGAATCTATGTAATCTTGATGTAACACATGTGCTGCTGGTGCCGTCTTTTTCCCCCTGTTATTCTGAAATGTTTATTGTTTACTTTTGTCACATCAGTTGTGTTCCTTCACAGTGACAGTGGACAGTATAACATGTTTTATAATACCATGATTCCATCTAGTATCACTTGGATCGGGGGGAGGGGGGGTTGTGTGTGTGTGCGTGGTTTTTTGTTGTTGTAAGTCCTAACAGGCCTTACTGCTTCACACTTGTAAGATTTAAAAAAACAACAGAAGCCTTACTGCAGATGTCTGAGAAGTAATAAAATGGCTGTGCTCTTCGCTATAGCGTAAAATATACAAGTTTTGAGCTAAATTTCCACTCGAGTCGGTATCTTTTCCAACACCTTCGTCTTTCTTTTCCAGTCAATACTGAGCCAGGGTAGACTGTCTTTTAATGAAGGTGTTTTAGGCATCCAATAGCACACATTAGAAAGTTAGTTTAGAAGGCAGCCTTCGACCCTGATTATCATGATAAACACGATACTCGATGAAAACCCTCCCCACTCGGAAACGAACTTGGATGTCCTGGGGGCGACAGCGAAGCCCCTAACCACTACACCACAGATGCTGGTTCTGGTAATAGCAGAGTTCGGTCAGGAAGTCTTTTTTGATCATCTGAGCTGAGTCAAATGTGGGTTTAAATGATATTTGTGAGACAGCATGGTGAAATCAGGCGCTCGTCAAAATAGTGAAGTCGAAGAAACCGGAAGTTGTCTCTCATTTAGGAATTTTTATCGAATTATAGTCTTTTGGCTCAATACCTTTTACGACTATTCATAAATACATTTCTGTCTGCATTTCACTGATAAACGTTGATTATGGCACAAAAAAGTAATTTTGCAATGTCCAAGCACTCTTGAGCTTTGAAGTCCCCTAACATTGGAGCCCAATAACTCGTTAATTTTACTTCATTCTATCGCAAATATCTCTACGTCTTTTCCAGTTAAATTAGTATTGTTTTCTTCAAAACCAAGACGAACCGGCATGCTTTAAGATAATACCAATAACTTCATATGCCCTCCCAAAATTGACGAGCGCCTGACTCCTTTTCGTCGTGACACATTTACAAATCTATGTGGAAGACAACAAAATCGATAGTATGTTCATGTCGACACCCACTCACGTTCCTAGTGAACTTTCTTCGCGAAGACAGACTTCCGTCGTTCACAAACTACACTAAGATGTTGGACAAAATGGAACAATGTTTATCACACTAGCTGGTGTAAGGCCTCTGTGGTGTGATGCGTAGAACTCTTTGCCATTGTGTGCACAGCACACGCTGAGTTCGATCCCACAGACAGCGAAAGATCTTGTCAGTATGTTAGTGTTTTAGCGCCTATAAATGGCTGCTTGCACTGTATGCTTCCCAGGAATTTGAGTTCGTTTCAGAATGCTCTCAGGTCTGCTTGGGTAATAGTAAAGATTGTGAAGCGCATAGAGCTTGCTGTTGAGCGGGGAATTGCGCTATACAAATGCTATATATTATTATTCCAGTAATTTCTTCTTTCTTTGTGCTGGAATGTATCCCATTCATTCCGGATTCACCCTGTCGAACAGCGTTGTAGCAGCCCATCTCCTAAATGATCCAATTATTGTCTTCTCGGGTGTATGTGTGTGTGGGGGGGTGGGGGGCAGATTGACAATAATTTACAAGTATCTATAGTAAATCTTCAGGTAAAAAGGAACCTTCACTTAGTTTTTAAAGTCTCCTCAAACAGCACCGTTCTTCTTGCTGGTTCATGTTAATTATGCGTCTCGTCTCCCTTTTCAGATGTCGTTTTAAAAACGCTGGCCGACATTTTTTGTTAAAGATTGCGTTATTTCTGCTGCTGCATTCTTTGTGTTTCATTTAACGTAGCTTCCTACATGGGCTCGAACTCGACTTCTACGCGCAACGGCGAAGAGCCTAACTGTGACACCAAGAGCGCCGAAACGATTTTGTGCTCTGCTTTTGTTGTTGTTGTTGCTGTTGTTGCGGTTGTTGTTATTATTTTTGTTGTAGTTGTGTTGTTAGTGTTGTTTTATTGTTACTGTTGATTTTCCATAAAACCAGGGTAAATTTACTATCACTCACATCGCACATCACAGTAGTTTAATCTTTGGAATCTCTGATGTTGAGGAATTTAATGCTTTATCATTCCTAGCAATCTTGCGTTCAATGATAAGCTCTTCCAACAATAGTATGTATTAATTTTACGTCTTCCATAACCCTTCCTCTTACACGTCAATATTGCTGAAATATTTCGAACTATGATGCTTTTAGAAAAAGTTCAGATGTTTCACACACATCTTTACATATTATGCCATATTGGTGTCTGTGGTGTAGCGAACAGGCACTTCCCTGTTGCGTGCGCTGGAGACCAGTTCGATTCCCGAATGGGGAGAACACTTTTATTGAGCATTTCGCTCTTTCCGCCCGCTTGTTGCATAAGCCCAGGTTGGCCTTGACAGGCAGGGTGCGGTACCCCACTCACCCAGCCCGCCTCGTTGATCCTGACAGGCAGCCATGAAGTAGTCCGCCTCATAATGGGTCATTATGTCTGATGGACATTTTCTTTTGCAAGCTCTTTAGTGCTCTCCCCCCCTCCCCCAATTTTTTCACTGAACACTTTGAATTTAGGTTACCTTTTCTAAAGCATAATGCCTAGTTTTTCTCCAACTACCCGCATTGGAATAAGACCACTATTTTCTCATGGGCACAGTTCATTTCATTGAGGTACCAGCCGTTATTTCTTTCCACCTGTGATTGTCTTAGGTTCTGAGGACGTTGACCCGTCCTCCCCAGCCTTGCTGTGTGAGTCACCTGTCCCACCTGATATAGAGCCTGTCTCTGTAGTAACAATTCTACTATGTTCATCCAATACTTCAAATGTGTACTGTAAAACATTGAGTTTTAGGAGAGCAGTAAAATTAACGTGAATCTTAAGTGAAGTTCGTGAGTTTAGATTTACTCACGACTATGAATTTTAAAAACTATACAACACTCAAAAAGTCATAGTTGTGCTGGTTACTTTGAGTTTCTTATTGGTGTTACTTACTCACCCAATAAACTGCTTATAAAAGATCTAGTTAATGTTTCTAATATTTCGTAATTCTGGACAAAATGAATGCTCTCGCAAAACACATGTTTTACAGTACTAAATGTAATTGGTCTTGGGACACTCTTTAGTGCAGATATGGCGTGCGGCTGGAATGCAGTTAGAAGTTGGGTTTGGGTTATGGGTAAGGATATGGGTTAGGATTCCACTGGGAGGATTGCTGGTAAGGGTTTGGTTTCTTGAAAACCCTTACTGTAATCTGAACATAGTCCCCTCTTCCCCGCCAAACCCTCCTTCCAGACTTTTGGACAAAACCAGCTGTCGCAGCATCATTCATCAAGTCTTTTATTCTCCTTCCTTGAGGGGAATGAAGAAATATCCATGTTGACCTTTGACATTTGAACCGTGTGACTTTTCTTTCACAGAGAGCGACCTCCCACCCTCTCAGTTAGGAGACATAACCTTGAAGACCGTTGAATAGGTTCTGTACGTCATGATCTTCTACCTCCCTCTCAATCTCCCCCTCTCACTCACAGTCTTTCTTTCTTTAATGTACACAATATTCCCATTCCACTTTGGTGATCATGGGCATGATACTTCATAATCTCCTTTTGCTTTGCACTGGTGCATCGTGGGACTTTTCTTTCCCTGAGGTTTCCTTTCGTTAGTTACTTACGGGTAGTATCACTAACCTTTCACTTCACGGTCTCTTTTCGTTAACATACATTGCACTGCCATGTTCATATCCTTCTGTGTATTTTATTATTTTCTCATTCCCGGGTGATGCTAATTTAACCCCATAAGTCCACAGAGCTAGGCTTTTCTTCACTTTCTACAAATGCAAGCTGACCAATAGTAATACAAATTGTTATTACTGTAAGCATGAATAATAGAAAACGATGTATGCTTCGTCTTATAGTACACAATACATTTGTATGTTTCTAATCTATCGGAGGTGGACGTTAAGCCCGAGACCGCACCTCATAGATAACCTTGCAGCATTGAAAGAGGTGTTTCGCCCTTACAACATCAAGCTTGGTTCAACATTGTAACATTCACAGTTAGTAAGAAAGCTGAGAAAAAGAGGTTCACGGTAAACTACTGAACTTGAAACAGGAAGGCAATATACAGTTTTTGTTTGAGTAAAGTATAACACATAAACTCAGAAACAACCATTTGGTGCTGGAAAAAAAAGACAGCAGACCTAGTGAAACAACACACAAAAATTAAGAAATGGAAGTGGCACTCTCCGACCACCCTCAGGCATAAAGTGTGCTTTTGCAAAACCCGACTGAAACCAATTGGTGAACTATGTAAAGTACGGAAAACCGCTCTTCAAAACCAGATAAACAAACCATTGCATTTTCATGATCAGGCAACACACGTTACTCAGTCCATCACACGTTCAAAATACCTATCTTGTTGTGTGCCTGTTCGCGTCCATTTCGTTGTCAGTTTGAAAGACGTACTGTTTGAGAACAGTGCTGGAATGTTGCACTGAGCGCGCAAGGTGGAATCTGCCAAAAGTTGAAAGACGTGCCATTTGTTTTGATGTCTTCAAGGTTTTATACACATGTTCCAATCGTTCCTAAATTGTCAAAGAATATACGTGTATAAAAAAGAAGCTATAAATAGTTCTATTTATAAACAAAATAAGTACTCGCCCCAGGAGGGGAAATAATTGTAAGAAGGCAAAACAGTTAAGTTCAAGCAAAATCATCTATTCAAGTGGATGACATTTTGACTGGAAAAAAAGTTTCGTCATAGTCATACCATCCGCACTCCTCTTGCAGTACAGAGCCATATTGAACGATTTACTGCAAAATATTGTCCATTCTAACATTGCTTACTCATCTATATGAAATACTACAAATAAATTCTATTAAAAAAATACGGTGACAAAATAGGAAATTCATTATACAGTTTGCACTATTCATACGGAGTGACAAATCGTTAAGTGTACAAAAGTAGGAGCAAAGATTGTTCTTTTAGCACCACGTCTACTTGAAAAACAAATTTAAACACTATTTATCATCGACAATGAAAACTTAAATTAAATTGTGAAGCTTTTCGGGGTAGTTTTTATTAGAAAGTAAACCATATCGGAGTGCACTGTCTTGGGAACGATGGTTTTGGGTCAAGGTTTCTTTCGTGTTCTTGATTTTTAGACTGTATGCATTAATTGTGCACTGATGACAATGGCATCATTTTACTCTTGCCTCTTCCACTGGTCAATTTGGTCTGCTGTACACAGCACTGTGTTTTTCAGGCTTCCAACAGACTAACAATACCACAAGTCTACTAAGTGCGAACCTACCTTAACCTGTAGCACACGTAAGACTGAGAACGTCAATTAGTAAGCAAAGTTTGATTGTATTTAAACTTAAAGTATGAAGCAAGCTTCACCATAGACTAGTGCGTGCGTGTCAACATTTTTACACAGCCAGCATCCCCTTTCGCCACCTTTACTTTAAGAGGATAGAACTTTCGCGCGCCCCAGATACATCATACATGCATGCATCTTCCAGCGGGGAGAGAAATACCGTCTGATCACCACCACCCTTCAAAATATACCAAATCTCCCACCAGTGTGTGATATCATTCGGGTTGGCAAGCACTGCCTTAGATAAAGTTGCTGTAGATATGGCATTAATGTCACTGCTTTCATGACAAGCTACAATTGTTTAGAATGTAACATATTATTTTTTATTTTTTTATTAGCATAATCCTTGTAGACTCTTTTTGCTTTGTAGTCAACGTAACCACGTACCCCAAAAATACCTATGACGATCCCATAGATAGTGGATAGTTTGCACAATATGGGTCATATAATATTCCTAATCTTCTTTTTTCTGAATGACTGTGAAATAAATTATGTCTGAATGTAAATCATAGATACAGTAGTATTTTCCACGATGATTCATTGATTTAATGTTATTGGCATCTATCTATCTATCTATCTATCTATCTATCTATCTATCTATCTATCTATCTATCTATTTATCTATCTATCTATCTATCTATCTATCTATCTATCTATCTATCTATCTATCTATCTATCTATCTATCTATCTATCTGTCTATCTATCTATCTATCTATCTATCTATCTCTGTTTATCTATTTACACACCTCTCATGCCTCTCTGAGAATTCAGTCTACCCTTGCAAGAGCTTTCAAAATGTAATTTAAATTGACTCGTAACTTAAATTATCTATGATCTCCTTTTTAAAACTGAAACCGGGCACAATTACCCCCCCCCCCCCCCTTAGACTAATAGAACCTCACGAAAAAACTTTCTCAAATATTTGCTTTTTCCCCTCATAAGTTGATTAAGTATCTACCCAGCTTTACATCCACAGCAGATACCTTGCCACAAATTTACTTTACGAGTCACTTAATTTTAGACAGTTTGCTCGGTGCACACACGTCGTAATTTTCCGCAAGTTGAATTTAAGTTGAGAGAAGTGCATCGGAGCAATAACGATTATTTAGTGCCAGGAATGTTTAAGACCAAATTAAGGGGTCAAGCAAAAAGAAGGCTAAGTGATATTAATCCTTCAGCAGCCTATTTTTTCCCTTTTTTTCTTTCTTAAAAAAAAATGGACTTGGCCCGTTATTAATGTGATTTATTTTCTTTGAGGACAATGCAGTTTGTAAATGATTCAGTTGTTTTTGGTTTGTTTTTGTTACTTGACTGGTTTCATAGGGGTGATCTATATGCACTGTAATAAGCTGTGCGTATCCTGTTTTTGAATTCAACCTTTCAAATGGTTTTTTTTTTTCGAAAGTTTGTTTAGTGTACATGGAGAGATGCATCGATGAAATTGCTGTCATTAATTGGTGGTAGGAATGAGCGAGACTTATTTCCCCCCCCCCCCCAAAAAGTTTAGTTTGTGTATAGAGAGACAAATGAGCACTATAACGGTTATTGATTGATGATAGGAATAATAAAGACCGGTTTTCAGGGCCGACGTCGTGGCCTTGGGAAAGGCATTAAACATGAATGTTCCCATTTAGCTCAGTTCTATCGGAGATGGACTTTACCTTCGGAGGTCCCACCTCATATAATCTCAAAGTGCCTTAAACTTCTACCATGAACGCTACTATAAAATGCCTTTCTCAAGGACACGATGTCGGCCCAAACTGAGCCTCGAACTCCTTTGAGCTCATGATTTCGAGTCCAGTTAGACAGACTACAACACTCCCGACACCATTTCAGCAGGAATACCGAAATGTGTGGGATGTTGGTACTTCAAAAGAAACAATGGGTTAAATTTTACCCAGATCTAATGATGATGTTCCTACTTTTCTCAAAACTATTTTAAAAAGTGAGAAATGTGAAATAAAACGAAATAAAACCATTAGAATGTGTATTCACACTGCCCATAAAAACTTGATTCAGAAAATATATCTTTGTTGGTATAAAGCAATTCTTTTTTCTGCTCAATCTGTCCTTCTATATTGAACTCCCTATAACATTACATCACAATTCAAATTAGACTCGGTGAAACGAGCAGGCAGTTAAGTTAGGTGATTCACGCTCCTCCCTTATTGCATTTTTCTTTCCATTAATGTTATGTCGGTCTCCGAGCTCTATGACTCAATACAATAAAGGGATTTTTTTTAAAAAGAAGAATAGCAAGCAGGCCCATCGATGCATTCTGCTCTACAAGCTCAGCCCATTATATTCTCACCTACTTTTGGGGCGCTGTCCTGCTCATAATTATATTCTCTTCATGTAGAGCCCTTGCAATAGCTAACTTTCATGTATTGGGCTTTAAAACGGTTCAGCAAACAAAACATAAACATGGTATTGGATTTCATTTTCCCCGACTTTTTTTTTT